ATATATATAAATAAATGACTAAAATGGACCTTAAATGTAAAATCTGTTTTTTAGTGAGCGGTTGGTGTATTCTGGGACTAAACTGTGTTTCCACTAGTTTAACCTCTAGAAAGTCCATTTGGTCCTAGCTTTCCTCTTATTCGTGTCATGGTCAACCACCTGTAATATTTGAGTAACAAATAAAATATGAATTCACATTTATTTAAAACTGTTTATCACGGATAGCTTATTGCAGTCCTGTGACATCCACAAATATTGATTTTTTTATATATATATATATATATTTGTTTTGTCAGAGCATTCCATTCATTGATATCTGTAAAGATGTGATGACAACTTCAACAAATATAACTGCAATGTTTTTGAAGAAGAAGATTTTAGAATGACTTAGTCTCACATGTTTTACAGTTGAACTATTTTCATTTTCAGAACTTCAGGATGATTCACATGAAGGAACCTCAGCTCAGTGACTTCAGTGCACTGGTCTTGCATCACATTGTTGTACTCCTTCTAACACACTCTTGTGGAGGTAAATGACGACTGAGCATTTACATATATCATTTGCAAAAATCCCATTGTAACATAATGGTCACGTGAGGCCAGAGAACTACAAACATACTCTATACAAGATTTTTTACACAACAAAAGAACACACTTTACTCAGTTCAATACACTTAGTGGTTTTACTTGGTCTGGTATGACCAGTAGCTGTCTACAGGAGATGGCCACATGCTTGTACTCTAAAGTAGAGTAGAAAACTAGTAGAAGAATGGAATTGTGGGATATAACTGTTCGTCAAACTTCAGTTACATACTTGAAGTCTAATTTAACATAGTTGCGTTAAAGCAGAGCATATGCTATGGTTGTATTGATAACATATCAATGTGTTTTCCCCTTAGGTCAGCTTCAGGTGAGTGGTACATCTCAGCCAATAGTGGCAATGGTTGGTGATGACATCATTTTGCCATGTCACCTGGAAACTGCTGTGGATGCTACTGGCCTGACCGTGGAGTGGACAAGACCTGACCTGGAACCGAGCGTTGTCCTTTTGAGAAGAGACAGTGTGCAGCTTCAGCATGAGTATAATCCACTGTACGTGGGGAGAACATCACTGTCCACCAACAAACTGAAGTGTGGAGACATTTCAATGACACTCTCTAAAGTAAAAGTCTCTGATGCGGGAACTTACGAATGCCTTGTTCCTAAATCTGGTCCAGAATCTGTGGTCGAGCTCACTGTAGGTACGTTGGTGTGAATCCATTGAGCACTTAAAAAACTATAATCAACCAGGAAATGTATAAATGCATTATGTCGTCAGAAGTGGCAGTTATGACAGTCAGGGAATATACTTTACTAGTGCAATGTGTAACTCTTAACCACAGTGCCTAAGGTTAAGAAGTGCTGTACTTCCATTCTTGTGGTAACTTTGACTTCAAACTGTTTTTGACATTTCTACTCTGTTAGGTTCTGTCTCCTCACCTGACATAGATATTTACAAGGTCAGCAATAGAGTGCTGCTAGACTGTGAGTCTAGAGGCTGGTATCCAGAGCCTGAG